GGTCAAAATGCTTGCTCACATGTGCACACTCATGCTTGTGTGAGTATATCGGTTGGTGTGCCCCAGGGCACCCACAGATGCACTTATGTGAGATCTAGGAGTTCCAAATCTATGCATGATCCAGGAGGGCACCTGTGTACGTATGCAGTATGGACTCCCAGGTATACTCAGGACAGCGAGCGAGGGCCACTAGTGCAGCAGGTCTTGCAAGAAGGCCCACATGTACTGGTGCATTACTTCAGGGTGGCTCTGTGGGATCCAGTGCCCCGCGCCTGGAAGGATGTGGGCCTCCAGCCGGCCGGGCACAAAACGGCTGCTGATGGCTCCTACCAGCCCCTGCTCGAAGTAGGTGTCCTTCTCCCCCCACAGCAGTAGGGTGGGCGTGGCCAGCTCCTGGGGCTCCAGAGGGAAGTTCCTATGGCCAAGACAGACAGGCAGAAGGATGGCTGGCCCCATCCCCTTCCCCACCAACTCTCCTGAGCTTCTGCCTGAGTCTGGACTTACCTGAAGATGTTTCGGTAGTAATTGAGGGGCCCAGTGAGGCCACTGGGCTGTGAGAAGTCATAAAGGAAGGCCTCAAGTTCACTGGGGTTTAAGTGTGGAATGCCCCTCTTGTGGTGGGTGAGGGTGGTCTTCAGGATCTGGGAACACAGCAAGACTCTGGCTTCAGTTCTCAGTCTACCCAGATGCAACCAACTACCCTCCATCCACCCTACTCTGGGCCTTCACCCCACTTCACCTGGAAGTCAGACATGGACAGCAACTTCTCCGGCAGCCAGGGAAGCTGGAACAGGAACACATAGTTGGAACGGAAGAATTGGCCAATGTGGCGCAATGAGTACTCTAGGGAGAGGGGAATGCAGACATGAGGCCTGGGCCTGGGGTGGCTCCACACCCTTGCATCCCTATACACACCCTAGTTAGGCATACAGATGTACCAACACTCAGGAATGCAACTGCTGCCTGCTTGAGCCTGTGAAGATACCTGACATCCACCTTCACCCTGGCATCAGCTTCCCTCCCTCCTGAGTAGTCACTGTACCTACAGAAGTGGGGACCTCCCTCTGCAGCTCCTGGGAGCCCCCACAGCCACTGTTATGCTTCCCTTGCCCAGGCCTCCTTCATTCAACAAATATTTATTGAGCACCTATTATGTACCAGGCCCTGTTCTAGACTTTGGAGACACAGTAGTGAACGGGACAGATAAAACTCCCTTGCCCTCAGGGAGCTGACAGTCTAGAGATGGAGACAGGCAAGAAACAACAATGAGAGAGAGAGAGGAGAGAGAGAATGAGCATGCAGCTATGATTACAACCCTGGGAATTAAAATCAGGTGATGTGATGAACACTGAGTAGTCAGAGATGGCATCTTATGCTAATTGTATTTGCTTAGTTACCTATGCCTTCACTGCTAGAAGAAAGCCATTTAACCTCTCTCAGTTTCCCCAACTGGACCATGGGGACAATAACTCCTTCATAAGCCTAGGAGGCTTGTGAAGGTTAAGATTGGGAGTGCCACAGGGGAAGGGACCCAGGTTCACTGCTGAGCCCCCAGTCCCTGGAGTGTTGACTGGTAGGTGGAGAAATGTAGACACAAACACACACCCCTTCAAACAGACACATCCCAGTGTCCTGGACTCCCTGACACACCTTGATACACCGACATGGGGGCAGCACTGACCACCACCATCCGTTCAACCATGGATGGGTAGTAGATGGAGAAATTCCAGGCTAGGAGTGCACCCCAGTCATGGGCCACAAGAATACACTTGGAGTAACCTGGGGGATCAGAGGAAATGGAGTAAATGAGATACCAGGCAGAGGTGAGTCAGGGGTGGGAGAGGCCAGGGCTAGGATAGGGGCATATCCCCACCCAGGCCCAGGATGACATCCTGGATGTCCGCCATCAGCAAGTCGACAGTGTAAGAGTCCACATCCCTGGGTGCATCGGAGGAGCCATATCCACGCAGGTCCACAGCCACCACATGAAAGCGGCTCTGGAACTCCCGGAGCTGGTAGCGCCAGGAGAACCTGCCAAGCAGGCAGAAGAGGGAGGGACGTTGAGTCAGGGTCCCCAAGCTGCACCTCCGCCCTACACCCAGTAGAGGCCTTTAGCTACCCCACCTTCCTACTCTGGATTTCTCAGAAAGGAGGATGGGGAACCCCAGGCCCAAGGCGAGGTTACTGGGCCCTGGATCACTGGCAGTGTTAACAGATTCCTTTCATCCCTTAGGGCGTCTGGTCCCTGGGTCCTTGTATAGACCTCTGTCCCACAGCGCCCCATCTGGGCCCTATATCTTTGCGCCCCAGTCTACCCAGCCCTCATCCTTTCTGCTGGGTACCCTGGTGGTACACCTTCCCACAGCCCGTGCACCCAGGCCTCTGGGCCTCAGACATACCAGTTCTGGGGGAAGCCGTGCAGAAAAAGCATGAGGGACCCATTGCCGCGTCCAGCGGAGACATAGTGCAGGCGCAGGCCGGAGCTCTGGGGGAGGCACAGTATGAGATCTGGGGAAAATCCTCTTCCTTGTGCTTGAAACCCTCCCTTCCAACACCCCCTCCCGACTCCGTCCCGGCCTTGTGAGGCTTAGATTTGGATTCAAACATTTGCACTCAGCTCACCATGCCACAGCCCCACCTCTCCGGCTGCTCGACGCCCGCAACCCCGAGGGAGCTCAGCGCACTCACCTTGAGTGTCAGGAAGCAGTGCTCTCCTAGCGCGGGGTCGCTCAAGCAGGCGGGTGGGGTGCGCCGGGGAAGCCCGCAGCAGCCGCGCCGCGGCCGGCACAGCACGTGTGTGAGCGCAATGCAGCCATAGACCACTGCGGCCACCAGCGCGGCGGTGAACACCAGGATCCACATGCAGGCGCGCAGCAGCTTCAGAGTGAGGCGCGACGGCGCCAGTAGTGCTGTCACCACCAGCTCCGGCATGTCTCCGCGTCCTGGGACAACCGTGCGGCCGTCGGGGCTCTCGGCCAGGGGCGCGAGCAGCAGGGGTGAGGCGGGGTCCGGGCTGCGTAGCCCACCGCCTTTGGCCTGGGGTCCCTCCGTGCCGTCGGGGCTTGCGGAACGCACGGAGAGAAGGACGGGTGGCTCAGGACAAAACGGCCACCGCACACAACTTACCTGAGTGCCAGGTGAACACCTGGGCGCGACGGCCACTGGGAACCAGGCTGGGGTGCTGGGATGGAGCCTGCGAGGACCAGGCTTCGGTGGGTGGGGAGGAACCTTGGAGCGAAGGGGTGCGAAAGCGGTGGGCGTGGCTTAATAAGTGGGCGTGGCCTAGTAGGACTCTCGCAGCAGGTGTGTGAGGGTTTAAACTCTAGAGGAAGACTAAAGTTCTGCACGACCTGGAAAGAGGGGGAGTCCGGGGTGAAACGGGAGGAACCTGGAGCGAAGGGCGGGGCTCTGAAGGGTAGGTGTGGCCTACGAGCCGGAAGGGTGGACCCAACCTGGCCCAGGAGCTTTGTAAGGGTTGGGGGCGCGTCTTAGGGGTGTGGGCAGAGAGAAGGCGCAGCCAGAGAAGGCGGGTCTAACGTTGGATGGAGAAGGACTGAGCGAGAGGGCTGGGCCAATGAGTTGGGGGCAGGCCTGGATCTGGGCCAATGAAACGAGGGGGCGGTGCCAGGAATCAATATGGCGGGTCGAGAGGACTCGGAAATGGGAGGGTGGGGCAGACTGTGCCACCGCAGAGATTAGGAGGGCAGCGCGGGCGATTGCCGCGGCCTGAGGAGGCCTCGGGAGCCCCAGCCGCAGCCTCCCGGGAGTTCCCCGACCTGGAGCGCGCGGCTCACCCCTCGGCCTGGCTCCGAGAGACCTAACAAGCGCCTTCACCTAGCCCTGGTTCCAACGGCGCGTCCTGCAGCCTCGACCCCGCGCTAGCCTCCAGTTGGCCAGTGGGCCCGTCGACCCGCCCCTGCACAGCTGTGATTGGACTGCAGCGGTCACTTTGGAGTGCTGGCTACAGGTCCTGCCCGAGAGCCAATCCGCAGGTGAAGTTCGGGCTCCGCGGTAGCTGCCAGCGTTGGAGAAGATACTTTGGCCCCTCGGAGGACCCGGCCTGTGGAGTCACTGGGACTGTGGCCGGAAGAGGAAGCAGGCCAGGCCGGGCGAGAGGCTTCTTCCACCTCATTTTGCAACCTTCCCCCAAGATCGTGAATATCTCAGTCACTTATTTAACCCTTGTAAAACCCCATTATGTGTAGGTACTATTATCACACCACTGTATTACGAAACCACGAACCTGCAATTTGGGGATTAAGCCATGTGCCTGAAGTCATACGCCTGGCTAAAGAGCAATCCAGGATTTTGAGAAAAGGAGCAATCTTGGGTTCCATCTCTCCTGCCCTTCGGCAGTCATTGGAACGCTCATAGCTTTCTGTTGGTATCCTAGGTATCTCTTAATGTGCCAGTTTCTTGATTAGCAATTTGGGATATTATCCATTGACTCTTATCATGTCACCACAACTGGACATGCTGTTTCCGTCTGTAGTTTTTCTATTGGTTCTTCTAACTTGAAACACTCCACTCATCCCTTTTGTCATCTCTCGGCCTCCTTCCACCTTCCACTGTTAACCTTACCTTTGTATTGTCAACACTGAACATTATACTGTCCTGGGACCATAATTAAGTCCCTGAGTTGCTACTTAAAGGGGAATAGTGGTTTATGTGGTTTGGCCTCAGTAAACAATGCACTCAGTTAAGTAGCTATGATTACACTGCCTGAGCTGTACAAACATTTGTTCTCCCTGCACTTAACGTACCTTTTTTCCCTTGCATGATTAGCCTGTCATAGATTTGGTTTCTTTTACTTTCCATAAAGTCAATTCTCTCGACCACTTGACAACTCTGGTATCCCTCCTGAGTTCTCTAATCTGCATGGCTGGTGGGCATCTGGGGACATTCCTTCTTCCTCTGCTACACAACACTGACTCTCACATCCCCACCCCCAACCCCCAGCTCTACCCTCAAACAAAAAGACAGCAGTAGTCACAGGATGGTAATTTTATATTCAGTACAAATGTTTATTTTTGCAATGAGAACTGCACAAAAAAAAACCTTTAGTATATAAGTGAAAAGTCTACGAATTCCTTTCTACAAATGTCTAAAGTGTTTAATACAAGTCTCAGATTCACTGACATAATTATTGGCCAAGCGATCCGTGCATACAGTACAGTGGGGGCTTGTATACACCTCTCACTCTTTTATAAGACTAAGATTTCTCGTACTGTGGGAAGGATTGGGGAATGGCCAGAGAAATTAAATAGATCCAAGTTCTAATTACAACCCAGTTAGAGAAACACCTATGAGGGAGGTGTGGAGAGGGCCATGGCAGAATTCACTCTTTAGAAGGTGTAGACAACCATTTCTCCAGTCGGACCTGGCCTGGGGAAGTTTCGGAACAAAACACAGAACAAAAATGAGGGTGTGGGATGGGATAGAAAATACTCCGAAGAACCAAAATATAAGTCGTACTTGAACCAGCACAGTGGTATGTGAGGAAGTGCCTGGAAGGTGGGGGCAGGTTTGCAGAGGGGTGGTGGTGGTGGTGCTCTGGCTGGATGCCGAACTACACCTAACAGGGAGGTTTGGGAGATCCCAAACACAATACACCGTGCCTTTCTAGTTAAAAAAGGGGAATATAGGTTAATAAACAGTGCTAGAAATGTTTCAGTCAGTATCTGTGCATACATATAAGTGATATACTTTCATCTTACATCCTAGGGCCTGCTCCTGGGTACTGAGCTTACCTTGTCGCTACTGATGGGCACCCAGGATGGCCACCTGGTGGGTTCTCTCTGGCAGAAATGTGTGGGTGCTCATTTGCATGTGAGGGAGGATCCTAGTTGGGAAGATGTACACTTATCTAAGAATATCTGGTAACCCTGAGCTTAAACGAAAGGAATTAGGTAGAGGGAGGCAAGATGAGAGAAGTTGACCAAATCCCCTGGTGAGTGGGGGACAAGGATGTAGGAGAGTGGAGAATACTGTCTGGAGTCTGGCCAGGTTCTGCTGGAGCACGGCTTCCCTGCCTAGGAAGGAATGGGTATCTGGGCTCCCTGTCAGCTTCAGCTTAGGACGGCAGGGACAGATCATAGGAAATAAGCTAGGTGACCCCTGGTGGGAGTTATTATACAGACATGATTTGGGGTCCAGAGACTCCTGGGCCTACCCTAGACAACAGGAGGTTCACAAAGAAATGTCAGGGAGACGCCAGCATTAAAAAAAGAGAGATGTGTTTATTCCATGATCAGTACAGACCAAATGCATATTCACTGTATGAAAGTCAAACCAGTCACTGACTCCAGAGTATGGCCAACACTGAGGCACCAGTGTTGAGGTGTAGAGTGGGTTCTCATGGCACGCGTAACCTCACCAAGGGTTCCAATTATAAAACTTAAAAAAAAATGGGGGAAGTGGCAGCTGGCTGGGAGGGCAAGCACTGGGTTGGTGCCGGGCCTGGAGCCTCTGCCTCAGTCTGTGGCCCTGGCACTGCCGTGAGCCCTGGCCTGACCCTTCCTTTTCTGGTAAAAAAACAACTCAAACAGATTTAACATTAAAAAACAAAGAAGCCAATGAATGGGGCTGGGAAAAGAAAACACAGCTTTCTGGTTTTATAATTAAAAATAGACTAATAAAGTTTGAAACTGAGTACAATGTAGGCAGTTTTTTTGTGTTTTGTGGTTTTTTGAGGTTTTTTTACACCAGTTCGGTGCAGTCACCAACTTCAAATAAAGATATGCCAACTATGTTTCACTATACAGCCACAGTCACACACTACCCACAGCGCGGTGGCAACTGCTGCCCAATGAGGAGAGGATTACACCGTTTTGGAGATAAGCAGTGCCATTGTGTTTGGAGGAGAAGAGAGAATTAAAAATAAAATAGAATCCAACAAAAAATATATATATATATATATAGAAAAAAAAAACCCAGAAACACAGGTGGGAAGGAACTGACTTTGGTTGGTGGCCTCATTCACCAGGCGAGGCTGGCCCACACGCACGTGACAGTCACCTCGCTCTGGATTGCCATGGACACACACACACCTCCACGGCACTATTCCCTTTTGCACAAGCGAACACTTACAGAGAGCGGCTCTCGATTAAAGGCTTGTGGGGGGAGGGTAGGGGTGGGATCTGTTCAAGGCAAAGTCAGTGCCAGCAAGGGGGTGGGCCGGTGCCCTCTTCCGCCTCCAGCTCACTAGGGCCTGCCCTGCTGTCCTGGGGTCAGGCATCTGGGGCTGGGGTGTGGGGAAGGACTCCCGGCAGGCAGGACGTCATGAACGTCATGTTTTCGGGGACAGAAAACCAGTCATGGTGGCGGCAGCGACGGTGTCCTGTGTATACTGTGTAGACATTTGGCGGAGAGTAGGGCCTCTGCCCGCACGCGGGGACGCAGACTTGGGTCTAGCCGACACTTGCTCGTGGTGAGACGTGCTCTGAGCTGATATTCTGTGAGGGTGTCAGGACGTCTGGCTGGCTGTAAGGCAGACGGCTCTGCAGTCCTTAGCTGCCCGTCAGGCCTGCCCCGGCATAGCATGCACGAGGGCCAGGTCCGGAGACAGGTCATGGACACTGCTACCGCCTCTGCTGCCGCCCCTAACACTATGTAGAGTCAACTTTTTGCCAGAAAATCAAAGTCAGAAGTCACCTAGGTGGTCTCAGAAAAGATTTTCTTCAAATATTGACAATAGGTCACTCTGGAAATTCATGTCAATGGTAGCTGCCATCTGGAGGGAAAAGGAGGGAAGGAGTCAGGGAGAGAACTCCCACTGCTCCAGTATCGGCTGCTCCCATAGGGCCCACTCCTTGGAACCTCGTGGCCCAGAGGCCAGCAGGTGTCAAACAAGCAGGCACACTGCTCCAAGCATCCACCTGATGGTATGCCTGCCTGCCCCACTTCTCAGAGTGACACTCCCACCCCTCTCTGGATTCAGGGTCCCCTTTCCCAACTCCTTTGGGGCTGGACTCCTGCCCTGGGGTTCCCCACCAGGGCCACTGACTCACCGCTTCCCGGCGCCTTCGCTCCTGCTCCCGCTTTCGGGCCAGCTCCCGCTGCTGGTCCAGCATGGATTGAGGCTGGGAGCTCTGGGCCTGGGGGGCGGCGGTGGCTGCGGCCACTGCGGCCGCCTGTTGTTGTTGCTGCTGCTGCTGCTGCTCCTGCCTCTGCTGCTGCTGCTGCTGCTCCTGGCGCCGGCGTGCCTCTTCGTGGGCTCGCCGGGCCTGTTCCAGTGCGTCCTCATCCTCACGGCTCCTGAGCAGAGCAGGGCTCCAGGTCAGCCTGGGGCCCGGGACTCCCCAGGAGCCCCCGCCCGAGGAGCCCGTGCCCACCTCATGCGCTCCTGCCGCAGTCGCTCCTTCTCCTTCTCTGCATGCTCAGCCTGCGCCTTCAGGGCCTTCTCACGTTCCTCTTTCTCACGGGCAGCACGTCTGAACTGCTCAAAGCTGTCACTTGATGACTTAGCTGTGGAGGATGGGGTGGTGGGGTGCTTCTGCACCAGGCTAGCCCAGGAGCCCATGTTCTTGATTTTAAGGTCCTGTGAGGCAGAGAGACCACCGGGTGGGTGAGGGGGCCCTGCTGCCATGTGGACACCTCCCTGGGGTGGGGGTGGGGAGTGAGGAGCACTTGTGGGCCCAATGACCCTACCTTTTTAGGTGCTACTGGTGTTTTCGGCTCCTGTTTCTGTTTGTCCTTGTCGGGAGCCCCTGGTGGGGGCGCATTCTGCTCAGGGGGCCGGATCACAGGCCTTCCAACATCCACAGGTTTCATCTCTGGCCCTGGAACACAAATAGCCTATGGGCCCGGGTCCCCCACCTGGGTGGGCAAGATGGGCTTGCTGGCCCATAAGCAGCTCACATTCAGCCCTGGCAGGGAGTAGAGAGGACACTCACGCTGGGGCAAGTGGACGGGGGCCTTGATGCTCTCCGGGTGCTTGGGGGGCTCCGGCCGCAGCGAGGGGCTGAAGGGCTCGCTGCGGATGATGGGTGAGTGGATCTTCTCCTCCTTCACCACCACCAGGGGCTGGGGCTGGGACTGGACCACAGAGGCCGCTCGCAGCTCCTGGGACGGCACAGGCACGGCGGCCGGTGAGGCGGGCAGGCGGCTTTGGCCCTGGCCCGTGCTTGGCCCTGGGGGCCGAGGCCCAGCCCTGCTCTTTACCTGCTTCTTCGGCTGGACACTTTGCTGGGGTGGCGATTGGTGGGTCAGGCTCTGGAACTGTTGCATCTGGGGGGAATGTATCATAAGCGGGGAGGGGGCTTCGCGGAGGTGACCTAGGAGAGGGGACAAGGAGTACGTTAGCTGGACTGGTGTGGAGGCCGCTATTCCTGGGTCCAGTCTGGCCCCTTAACCCAATGGGAGCCCCGAGCCCCACCATGGAAGCCCTGCCACAGGGGGCCTGTGGACCTGCTCAGTCAGGCTCTGAGCTCAGCATGGAGCAGGGCTTTGTAGAGCCATGCGCTCAGTCCCAGTGATTAAAACCTATGTGTCAGAATCATTAGGAAGCTTTGAGAAGTGCATAACCTGATATATTTGGTCCCAGGTGGGGTCTGGGGCTGAGTACTTTTTAAAAGCTCTCCAGATTGTTCTATGGCAATGCCTGGGTTAAATGCAAGGCACATCAATAACCTCACAGAGCAGGCAGCCTGGGTACTAGCTGTCCCCGTGTGGTACTAGTTGTCTAGCCGGCCTGCCTGCCTAGACAACTCCTTTGGGCCTAGGGCTAGCCTGGAACTGGCCTGCACCATAGCAGAATTAGAACAGGTCCTGAGCTTGTGGTTCTTACAGGAAGTGGGCAAGCCCACCTATCTTTATCCAACTAGTAGGTGGGGGAACCCAGGCAGTCACAGGGTACAAGCACCCTGCACAGGGCAGGAGCCCAGAAAGCCCCACTATTGGACCCTGGGAAAGGTGTGGCCAGGCACTGAAGCCTGATACCTTAGCTTCATTAGTGAGGAAACAGCCCTAGATCACAGTGGGCCAGCCCCTCAAGATTGGGTGGCTGAGGGAGCCACCAAATCTTGCCCTCAAGTCTTCCATCCACCCCAGCAAGGGGACACCCTCCTGTTTGAAGTCCTCACATGTCTTTGGGCCAGCTCCACCATGGGACAAGCCACACTGTCCACAAAAGAAAGCCACCGCTCTGCAGCACCTGTGTTCCTGGTCCTGTCTCACGCCTTATAGTGAACCACCTAACTGGGGCTCGGCATACCAGCCCTGCCACCATCTGCCAGTAGAAACACCCTTAGGCCCTCCACAGGTCCCTTGGGCAGAGGAGTCCATTTTAGTGGTGCCTGGAGCTGACCATAAATGATTCCCCTGCACTCTCTCGAGTCAGAAAAGCTGTTTGGATATGACATGGTGGCAAGAACCAGCCTGTCCCTGTGCCCTGGCTCCCAGCCCCATGTGGCTGCCTCTGCCAACCTAAGTGCTAGATGGCCCTGGTCCAGGTTTGCCAGTCAGCTAGCCAGCCAGCCACACAGTCACACGATGGTGACAGCTTTCTGCCTGGGGTGGCTCTCTAGAGAGCACCTGAGGTTGACCAGGGTGATGGCAGGCTCTCAGGCCTATGATCTGTAGGAATCACCTGCCTGCCTGTGGCTTCCTCCACCACCACTTGGAGGGGAGACCCACTGGCGGTGCCTGAGAGCTGGCCCAGCGCCCAGGGATGTCCGCTGCGTTCCTTAGGATTCCAATGACTTAGCCTTTGACCCAAAGCCCTAGCTGGGCTCCAATCCACATGGCTCCCCGCGACCATCCCTGGCCATGGGAACTCAAGATGATATGGACCCAGGTGACCAGAGGGGACCTGCCCTGCCCTGCCCCCACTGTTGGCTGTTCTGAAGGTATCTCATCACCTATCACTACTGGAAGCCTGGTCTTGCTGAAGGGTGGGAAGAGGCACAGCTGCATGGCTGCCAGGACCAGCACCAGTCTTTCCCAGGGAGGACAGCCAGCTGTTCTTGGCCTAGGGCTGCATCAATCCCCTTGGCACCTGGCAGCTTTTGCTGGGTTTAGGAGCTGTCATGACACAAAATTATGGCCTGTTCAATTTGTGAGCAGCACTGCTGTATCCCAAGCCAGACATCGGTCTACACTGCCAAGACCAGGGACCTCAACTCTAACCCTTGCATGTCACTATACCACAAGGCATCTAGGGCTGGCCAGAATGTTTTGTTTATAGACATTTAAATAACAAATGCCCAAGAAAGACGAGGGCATGGCCTGACCAATGCTGTGAGGAAAAAAGGGCAGCCTGGACCAAACAGCAGGAGACAGGAATGGTTCTGGGGGAAGGTGGGACGCACACAACCTTTGAGCTTCAGCCTAATTCTCCCTGACATGGTCCCAGCTCCACCAGATGGGCCTCATGACACCAAGAGCTAAGCACCTGTTCCTGCAGGTTCTCAAACAGTCCCAACTGCCCAGACCTGCCCCTAGATCCGCCTGGAACTTAATCCCCACCCTGTTTGTTCAACTAGCTCCTGCTCATCCTCTGGCCACCTCCTCCAGGAAGTCTGCTCCAGTGCCAGAGGTAGATTAAATGCCTGCCCAGATTTCTGGCTTCCCCACCTAGCAAGAATCACGACGCACTATAACATTCTTGACTGAGTTCCAAGAAAAGGGCCAGTGAGGGCCATATTCTTGGTCATCTCAGCTTGCAAGCAAGACACACAAGACAGAGACACTGCACGAAGCACCTACACCTTGTCAGCCACCCCTCTCCAACCTCAGCCTGAAGCAGTTGACCTGCGTGGCTGCTCAAGGACAAAACCCTGGACCCAGTACCAGCCTCCCTGGAGCCCAGAAGCCAGGGGCCACTTACTGGTTGAGTAGGGGTCCGACTTGTGGTGCCGGGGTGAAGGGTGATGCTGGATGACTTGCTGAGGCTTGGCGGGCTGTGGTGGGGGTGGCTGCTGGCCTGGGGGCTGGT